TCGACAAGACAGGAGGATCCTCAGTGTATATTCAGTAATGTGGTATCTGGGGTCCGACAGAGGATGGACTCTCAGTGGATATTAGTAATGTGGTATCTGGGGTCAGACAGGCAGGATGGATCTCAGTGGATATTAGTAATGTGGTATCTGGGTCAGGACGACCGGATGGACTCTCAGTGGATATTAGTAATGTGTACTGGTGTCAGACAGACAGGATGGAGCGCAGGGGAGATGAGAGGGGTATAGGGCGTCAGAAAGACGGGAGGGATCTCCCCCCCCCCCCCCCCCCCCCCCCCCCCACCCCCCCCACCCCCCACCCCCCCCCCCCCCCCCCCCCTGTGGATATTAGTAATGTGGTATCTGGCGTCAGACAGACAGGATGGATCTCAGTGGATATAGTAATGTGGTATCTGGGGTCATACAGACAGGATGGATCTCAGTGGATATTAGTAATGTGGTATCTGGGGTCAGACAGACAGGATGGATCTCAGTGGATATTAGTAATGTGGTATCTGGGGTCAGACAGACAGGATGGATCTCAGTGGATATTAGTAATGTGGTATCTGGGGTCAGACAGACAGGATGGATCTCAGTGGATATAGTATGTGGTATCTGGGTCATACAGACAGGATGGATCTCAGTGGATTTAGTAATGTGGTATCGGGGTCAGACAGACAGGATGGATCTCAGTGGATATTAGTAATGTGGTATCTGGGTCAGACAGACAGGATGGATCTCAGTGGATATTAGTAATGTGGTATCTGGGGTCAGACAGACAGGATGGATCTCAGTGGATATTAGTAATGTGGTATCTGGTGTCAGACAGACAGGATGGATCTCAGTGGATATTAGTAATGTGGTATCTGGTGTCAGACAGACAGGATGGATCTCAGTGGATATTAGTAATGTGGTATCTGGTGTCAGACAGACAGGATGGATCTCAGGGATATTAGTAATGTGGTATCTGGCGTCAGACAGACAGGATGGATCTCAGTGGATATTAGTAATGTGGTATCTGGGGTCAGACAGACAGGATGGATCTCAGTGGATATTAGTAATGTGGTATCTGTTGTCAGACAGACAGGATGGATCTCAGTGGATATTAGTAATGTGGTATCTGGGTCAGACAGACAGGATGGATCTCAAGTGGATATTAGTAATGTGGTATCTGGGGTCAGGACCAGACAGGATGGATCTCAGTGGATATTAGTCATGTGGTATCTGGGTCAGACAGACAGGATGGATCTCAGTGGATATTAGTAATGTGGTATCTGGGGTTCAGAACAGACAGGATGGATCTCAGTGGATATTAGTAATGTGGGTATCTGGGGTCAGACAGACAGGATGGATCTCAGTGGATATTAGTAATGTGGTATCTGGGGTCAGACAGACAGGATGGATCTCAGTGGATATTAGTAATGTGGTATCTGGCGTCAGACAGACAGGATGGATCTCAGTGGATATTAGTAATGTGGTATCTGGCGTCAGACAGACAGGATGGATCTCAGTGGATATTAGTAATGTGGTATCTGGGGTCAGACAGACAGGATGGATCTCAGTGGATATTAGTAATGTGGTATCTGGGGTCAGACAGACAGGATGGATCTCAGTGGATATTAGTAATGTGGTATCTGGGGTCAGACAGACAGGATGGATCTCAGTGGATATTAGTAATGTGGTATCTGGGGTCAGACAGACAGGATGGATCTCAGTGGATATTCGTAATGTGGTATCTGGGGTCAGACAGACAGGATGGATCTCAGTGGATATTAGTAATGTGGTATCTGGGTCAGACAGACAGGATGGATCTCAGTGGATATTAGTAATGTGGTATCTGGGGTCAGACAGACAGGATGGATCTCAGTGGATATTAGTAATGTGGTATCTGGGTCAGACAGACAGGATGGATCTCAGTGGATATTAGTAATGTGGTATCTGGTGTCAGACAGACAGGATGGATCTCAGGGATATTAGTAATGTGGTATCTGGGGTCAGACAGACAGGATGGATCTCAGTGGATATTAGTATATGTGGGTATCTGGGGTCAGGACAGACAGGATGGATCTCAGTGGATATTAGTAATGTGGTATCGGGGTCAGACAGACAGGATGGATCTCAGTGGATATTAGTATGTGGTATCTGGGTCAGACAGACAGGAGGATCTCAGTGGGATATTAGTAAGTGGTATCTGGGGATCAGACAGACAGGATGGATCTCAGTGGATATTAGTAATGTGGTATCTGGGTCAGACAGACAGGATGGATCTCAGTGGATATTAGTAATGTGGTATCTGGTGTCAGGACAGACAGGATGGATCTCAGTGGATATAGTAATGTGGTATCTGGGGTCAGACAGACAGGATGGATCTCAGTGGATATAGTAATGTGGTATCTGGTGTCAGACAGACAGGATGGATCTCAGTGGTATTAGTAATGTGGTATCTGGGGTCAGACAGACAGGATGGATCTCAGTGGATATTAGTAATGTGGTATCTGGGTCAGACAGACAGGATGGATCTCAGTGGATATAGTAATGTGGTATCTGGGGTCAGCAGACAGGATGGATCTCAGTGGATATTAGTAATGTGGTATCTGGTGTCAGACAGACAGGATGGATCTCAGTGGATATTAGTAATGTGGTATCTGGTGTCAGACAGACAGGATGGATCTCAGTGGATATTAGTAATGTGGTATCTGGGTCAGACAGACAGGATGGATCTCAGTGGTATTAGTAATGTGGTATCTGGTGTCAGACAGACGGATGGATCTCAGTGGATATTAGTAATGTGGTATCTGGTGTCAGACAGACAGGATGGATCTCAGTGGATATTAGTAATGTGGTATCTGGTGTCAGACAGACAGGATGGATCTCAGTGGATATTAGTAATGTGGTATCTGGGGTCAGACAGACAGGATGGATCTCAGTGGATATTAGTAATGTGGTATCTGCTGTGTCGGACAGACGGGATGGATCTCAGTGGATATTAGTAATGTGGTATCTGGTGTCAGACCAGACAGGATGGATCTCAGTGGATATAGTAATGTGGTATCTGGTGTCAGACAGGACAGGATGGATCTCAGTGGATATTAGTAATGTGGTATCTGGGGTCAGACAGACAGGATGGATCTCAGTGGATATTAGTAATGTGGTATCTGGGGTCAGACAGATGCTCCATCTTAACCTCTGATAGGCTATGTGGAAATGTCACCATATTGATTTATCCAAAGCAAGTGTATTTATTTTACGTATCGTGGCCCCAGTATTCAAACCCACAACCCTGGCGGTGCAAGCACCATGCTCTGCCAACTGAGGCATTCAGGAGTCAAACCCACAACCCTGGCGGTGCAAGCACCATGCTCTGCCAACTGAGGCATTCAGGAGTCAAACCCACAACCCTGGCGGTGCAAGCACCATGCTCTGCCAACTGAGGCATACAGGAATCAAACCCACAACCCTGGCGGTGCAAGCACCATAATCTGCCAACTGAGGCATACAGGAATCAACCCACAACCCTGGCGGTGCTAGCACCATGCTCTACCAACTGAGCCATACAGGAATCAACCCCACAACCCTGGCGGTGCTAGCACCATGCTCTACCAACTGAGCCATACAGGAATCAAACCCTAAAAACCCTGGCGGTGCAAGCACCATGCTCTGCCAACTGAGCTATACAGGACCCCACACACTTTGTGTTCTGGGTTGTGATTGATCAGTGTGTCTGTGTTCTAGAATCTGATTGGTCACTATTTCTGTTCTGGGATCTGATTGGCCTTCTCCGTGGCAGCATCTCACCTGGGCACAGTGGTGCTCATTAGCATACTGCTGAATATGTATGAGCGTGCCGCTGGCACCGCAGGAGACCAGTGCTGCAGGGCATTGTGGGAAATTAGCCGCATTACTAATTATGATCCGCTGCCTCAGAACCTGTCAATCAAATCAGAGAGAGAGAGAGAGGGAGAGAGGCAGGGAGAAAGCAATAGAGAGAGGGGGAGAGGCAGGGAGAAATGGAGAGCAAGAGAGAAAGAGAGTGGCAGAATACCTGAACACTGTGACAACCCAAAATTAAGGAAATTTTTAAACTACGTACAGACTGTGAGCATACCCTTTGCTATGAAAAAGGTTGCTGAAGGCAGACCTGGCTCTCAAGAGAAGACAGGCTATGTGCACACTGCCCACAAAATGAGGTGGAAACTGAGCTGCACTTCGTAAATTCCTGCCAAATGTATGACCATATTAGAGACACGTATGTCCCTCAGATTACACAGACCCACAAAGAAAACAAATCCAATTTGGACCTGTGCCACAAGAAAAGAGCAACCAGTGAAGAACAAACACCATTGTAAATAAAACCCTTTTTATTATTTTTTATTTTTTTTCCCCTTTTGTACTTAACTTTTTGCACTCAACAA